CAAAACAACCAATGTCTCTTATCACATCTCATAACTTAAATTCTACTACATAAACCGTACAGTACTAAATGTGGAAATATATACAACGAGACAGCTTTGCACTCTGACTTAAAATAGTTTTTTGCCTGGTGGTAGATAAAGGTCTAGCATATGCAGATCCATAGGATACAAGCATCCTCAGTCTTTTATACCAAAAAATACTTAATTCCGTCAAAGTGGAGGGAGTGGAAGCTATGTATTATTTCCCCATATAATAGTCATGCAATGTAGTTTGTTTTAGGATTTTCATGCTGACTCTGCAATTGATCTACTTAAGTTTTGAACAATGTTGGTACATGCAAAGATCTGGAACATTTATGGGGGCTGCAATGTCCCTCATGTATGCAAATATCATTTTGAAGGAATATTAATCTTTAGATTTCCAAATTTAGACATGCAATTACTGGCTACTACAGATTTAAAGATGATATCCTAATATTATGGAATTGGAGGCAATTTAATGACTTGCCCACTCCCATTAACGTATCCTCTCAGATGAGTGAAGAAAGTATTCCATTATTTGCATTTGGAGATTTTTCCTAAAAAATGCACATTTGAAGTGTACATGGACCAAAATAGTATATTACATATACACCCATGTGCACACACATCATCTTAAAAACCATTACCTCACTCTCAATTTCTTCAGTAGTAGGAAATAGCTTGAATGGAGAGAGGAGAAACGATGCATAATTAATTTCTGAACAGAGTCTATCATCAAAAGGACTCACAGGTAGCCCCCGTAAAGGACAAGAATTGTGCTCTTTGCTTCACATTTCTAGTATCTTGCAAGAACCTAGCACAGCATGGTTTATATAGTTAGTGGTGTAGTTAGATATTTTTACCTCTTTTTTGATTTCTTTTATTCCTTCCATTATTATATTTGGTATATCTTATACTATGTCTCTCTACATCATCATATTGTTGGGGGGATGTAACGGAGTGGACCTTGTTGGATAAAACACCAGCAGAGTAAGCATTTTCTGTAGTTCCTTTATTTCCTATTGGTATGAGGTCACATGACACCCCTTTTTAAGTATGTAAAGCAAATTCAACATCTCTGTCATTCAGTTACTTAAATTATAACAACAAGCTTACTGCTATTCAGTTATCACTAGATATAAGATAACATAAATTATTTTAAACATAAACCCCAGCAGTGAGCTGCCACTGTCCTACACGAGATTCACAAATTACCGTCCCGTGACTGTGTATCTTTAACTCTTTTAAGCCCCTGTGACTGTCAAATTAGCTACAATGCTGCACTGGGTTGACAGTTTCATCAAGGAACCGCTTGTAAGCACCATTACCAGTTATGGTTGAAAAAAGTTTTGTTTTAGATGCTGTGTATACATTTAATCAACAGAGACATCACATTTGGGATACTCCTTATTCTTGATTATGTTTTTAGTTTGTGGTTTGCTACATACAGCATCTGGGTGAGTGGGGCTAATTTATTCTTACCACTATACATGGGTTTTAGTGGTAATGAATGGTTATTAAGTACTTCCAAGCCTGTCCCCCACCCTCAAAAGCTACACTGGTCTAATATTATAACCTCTTGTACACTGTTATTGGTTATATATGTTAAATTGCTACATTCATTTTGCAACATATACTTTCTGATACATTGCATAACTCATTTGATACTTGTTTAGACAGCATTTTATCATCTCTATCATGACATATTCAGAACTAGTTTTCACAGTTTGAGGGAGTATTTTAAGGTTTAATCCAATAGTGCACTTGTAGATAGAGCATATCTTTTTATAATTATATTGCCCTTACCCTTTTCAGCTTTAGTCACATGATATGAAAGAAGGACTTTATTCAATAAATGTATCAAGGTGTTTTAATCAGATGAAAGGACATTTGATCTTTATTTTTATCAAGTTGTAAATAAAAGTTATATTTTACACCTTTTCATTAAATTCTAAGGGGATAACTTGCCATGTGCACAATATAATGGAGAAACAACAACCCACATTTTTAGTGCTTCACTCAACAGGGGAAGAGGTGAAGCAACAGCGTTATTTTACCATGGACATAACCACTATTGAGAGCACTTTAGGAGTATATAAGACCCACACCTGCTCTCACACGTGTTATTCACAACAGACATATTTTATAGGATTCTAACATTCAAAACAAATAACTCAAGAACTTTCTCAACTTAAACTATGTTTTAGGCTTCGTAATGACATGTGCTATCATCCTGTCGGTTGGGTATTAATAAAGGAACATACCGCCCTTAATGATCACTGACCAGATGAAGTGGTATTTGATATCAATATGTTTTCATTTTTGACAATAAAATGGATTCCTTGAAAAAACATGAGGCAGGGGTTTTCAATATCACTGGAGTGACAAATCTAAAAAAGAAATCAGTTCTTTCTTTGGGTATGGTCATATAGACCAGGTTTGCTCCTTACTACATGAAGCTCTTCATGCCTTTCTGGGAATCTCAATTTTCCTTAAGGTTGCCTAATTGGGCACAGAGCCTGGTCCTCTACAAATGTTATACCAATAACATTTTTATGATTTGAGAGGTATATGTGGAATATTTTAATTTATTTTTGGATTAACTCTATCTTAATGTTGGGGGATTAATTTGGACTCCTTGTGGAAAGGCAAATAAAAAAGGATCTAAGGGGATTGATATAGATTTGAATGTGAAACAAGTAGGAAATATGCATAGGTAGAAAACAATACTCAAATAAAAAATAAAAGAAGGACACACCAAGGATACAGGTTCATTTATCAGCAATTTTAACAATGAGACTAAGCCTATACATCATATTATTAGGAAATATTGGTCAATTCTAAAGAACCCACATTTAACAGATATTTTAGAAACTTAATAGAGGAATAAAACATTTAAATTATATTTTGGTGCATTGCTTAAGCGCAGACTTAATATTTTTTCAATTAAAATATTTCTTTTATTATTGTGTTCAATGTCTACCAGGTAAACACTTGAATATAAAGAAATCATATTCATTAAAAAGAATCATAAAATGTCCTATATAAAAACAATACTTACCTGTCATAGTAAGAACATTGCTGTCTTTTTCCCATCTGCTGCTCCATAAAGTTTTTCTCTAGTTTAGATTTAGATTCCAAATTTACGATGTTTTTAATTAGGTAGGATGCTGTGTCGACCATCAGCCCTTCTGAGATTAACCCATTTAGTTGGTAAGTTCTGATTTTAAAGGCATTTGAGTGTCTTTTATTGTTATCTTCCACTTATTTCTACGTTTTGCACCTACAACCTGCATCTCTGTGTGTCAAGCTCACTACAGTAACTTCACCACAGTATAAAACTGTCTTACATGTCTTAGATTTTTTTTATGCTTGTGTTTATATTAAATTACTTGGATAGCTTTTGATATGTTTTAACTGCAATCATGGAAAATGTATATTTAGTACTGCAAAAGATGATTGTCTAGTTAGTATTATAATTGTTTAGTTAGAAAATGTTTATTAATATTTGTTATATTTTCTCTAACATCTTGTCATTAAACGTTATCTTTTGCTGCACTCTGACTGATTCTCATTTGGTCATTACTGTTAGGAAATATCTCTGCCAAAATACCTTATGCAGCTAATACTCTAAATTATAGCTATACAAAATTAAAGGGTTGGTTTTGAAAACTTGCAAATATATGTGGGCTTCCAGTAACTCTATTGTTAATGTCACTAGGTAATGTCTATTGTTAGTGTAACTAGGTTACACCAGGATACGTGCCTGGTGGTCATCTTGATGCTCTTTGAAGCACATAGTCGGCAGCCATTCTGGTGCTCCTGAAGGTTTAACACAGTAGTTATCATGAAACCCTTTGAATTGATGAAACTTATTCACCCAAAACCTCAAACCACAACAATGTGTCAGTGTGTTTATATGTGTGTAGCTGTGTATATATATATATATATATATATATATATATATATATATATATATATATATAAAGATTTGTTAGTAAAGACGGACCCTATACACTGCTATGAGGACAAACAGGGTTTTGTCAATTTTGGTTGCTACAAGTGCTTGGGCTGTGTCACTTGTGGGCACATGCTATCTGGCAAATCGTTCACCCATCCCCACACAGGAAAGAAGTACATCATTAGGCATCGATTAACTTGCACTACTGATTATGTAGTATGCAAGCTAACTTGCCCTTGCGGGCTTACGTACATCGGCAAGACGGACCTGCCCATGCGCGAACGTATTCGCAACCATAGATCTAGTATAAGGGTGGCGTATATAGATCAAAAATCGGACTTGCCGGTGGCTAAACATTTCTTGGAGAAAGGACATACGCTTCCGACTTTAAAACTCATGGCAATTGACCATATACCACCTCTTAGGAGGGGAGGCGACCGTAAGAAAATGTTATTACAACGAGAACTTTATTGGATTAGAACTTTGAGAACAGTATATCCTGAAGGTCTGAATGAGAAATATACCCTTTCTGCATTTCTATAAATGTTTATGTTTTAAGTAGTGACAATGAGATGAGCTATGTGATGCCCACCCTGGGGGATAGGCATACATTCCTATGCTTCTCTCGTAACTATGTGTGTTTATTCATTATGTGGGGTGGCATGCTCTAGTATATGTATTATGATTTCCTTGTTCAATATTTGGTGAGGGTCAAACTTTATCAAGACCATTAGGGGGCACTACTGCTTAGTATAGTGTTATGTTGTATCATTAACTAACTGTGCTATTCTTTTGATGTACATGAGATGTTTAAAAGAACTTGTATTATTTCCCCATATAATAGTCATGCAATGTAGTTTGTTTTAGGATTTTCATGCTGACTCTGCAATTGATCTACTTAAGTTTTGAACAATGTTGGTACATGCAAAGATCTGGAACATTTATGGGGGCTGCAATGTCCCTCATGTATGCAAATATCATTTTGAAGGAATATTAATCTTTAGATTTCCAAATTTAGACATGCAATTACTGGCTACTACAGATTTAAAGATGATATCCTAATATTATGGAATTGGAGGCAATTTAATGACTTGCCCACTCCCATTAACGTATCCTCTCAGATGAGTGAAGAAAGTATTCCATTATTTGCATTTGGAGATTTTTCCTAAAAAATGCACATTTGAAGTGTACATGGACCAAAATAGTATATTACATATACACCCATGTGCACACACATCATCTTAAAAACCATTACCTCACTCTCAATTTCTTCAGTAGTAGGAAATAGCTTGAATGGAGAGAGGAGAAACGATGCATAATTAATTTCTGAACAGAGTCTATCATCAAAAGGACTCACAGGTAGCCCCCGTAAAGGACAAGAATTGTGCTCTTTGCTTCACATTTCTAGTATCTTGCAAGAACCTAGCACAGCATGGTTTATATAGTTAGTGGTGTAGTTAGATATTTTTACCTCTTTTTTGATTTCTTTTATTCCTTCCATTATTATATTTGGTATATCTTATACTATGTCTCTCTACATCATCATATTGTTGGGGGGATGTAACGGAGTGGACCTTGTTGGATAAAACACCAGCAGAGTAAGCATTTTCTGTAGTTCCTTTATTTCCTATTGGTATCAGGTCACATGACACCCCTTTTTAAGTATGTAAAGCAAATTCAACATCTCTGTCATTCAGTTACTTAAATTATAACAACAAGCTTACTGCTATTCAGTTATCACTAGATATAAGATAACATAAATTATTTTAAACATAAACCCCAGCAGTGAGCTGCCACTGTCCTACACGAGATTCACAAATTACCGTCCCGTGACTGTGTATCTTTAACTCTTTTAAGCCCCTGTGACTGTCAAATTAGCTACAATGCTGCACTGGGTTGACAGTTTCATCAAGGAACCGCTTGTAAGCACCATTACCAGTTATGGTTGAAAAAAGTTTTGTTTTAGATGCTGTGTATACATTTAATCAACAGAGACATCACATTTGGGATACTCCTTATTCTTGATTATGTTTTTAGTTTGTGGTTTGCTACATACAGCATCTGGGTGAGTGGGGCTAATTTATTCTTACCACTATACATGGGTTTTAGTGGTAATGAATGGTTATTAAGTACTTCCAAGCCTGTCCCCCACCCTCAAAAGCTACACTGGTCTAATATTATAACCTCTTGTACACTGTTATTGGTTATATATGTTAAATTGCTACATTCATTTTGCAACATATACTTTCTGATACATTGCATAACTCATTTGATACTTGTTTAGACAGCATTTTATCATCTCTATCATGACATATTCAGAACTAGTTTTCACAGTTTGAGGGAGTATTTTAAGGTTTAATCCAATAGTGCACTTGTAGATAGAGCATATCTTTTTATAATTATATTGCCCTTACCCTTTTCAGCTTTAGTCACATGATATGAAAGAAGGACTTTATTCAATAAATGTATCAAGGTGTTTTAATCAGATGAAAGGACATTTGATCTTTATTTTTATCAAGTTGTAAATAAAAGTTATATTTTACACCTTTTCATTAAATTCTAAGGGGATAACTTGCCATGTGCACAATATAATGGAGAAACAACAACCCACATTTTTAGTGCTTCACTCAACAGGGGAAGAGGTGAAGCAACAGCGTTATTTTACCATGGACATAACCACTATTGAGAGCACTTTAGGAGTATATAAGACCCACACCTGCTCTCACACGTGTTATTCACAACAGACATATTTTATAGGATTCTAACATTCAAAACAAATAACTCAAGAACTTTCTCAACTTAAACTATGTTTTAGGCTTCGTAATGACATGTGCTATCATCCTGTCGGTTGGGTATTAATAAAGGAACATACCGCCCTTAATGATCACTGACCAGATGAAGTGGTATTTGATATCAATATGTTTTCATTTTTGACAATAAAATGGATTCCTTGAAAAAACATGAGGCAGGGGTTTTCAATATCACTGGAGTGACAAATCTAAAAAAGAAATCAGTTCTTTCTTTGGGTATGGTCATATAGACCAGGTTTGCTCCTTACTACATGAAGCTCTTCATGCCTTTCTGGGAATCTCAATTTTCCTTAAGGTTGCCTAATTGGGCACAGAGCCTGGTCCTCTACAAATGTTATACCAATAACATTTTTATGATTTGAGAGGTATATGTGGAATATTTTAATTTATTTTTGGATTAACTCTATCTTAATGTTGGGGGATTAATTTGGACTCCTTGTGGAAAGGCAAATAAAAAAGGATCTAAGGGGATTGATATAGATTTGAATGTGAAACAAGTAGGAAATATGCATAGGTAGAAAACAATACTCAAATAAAAAATAAAAGAAGGACACACCAAGGATACAGGTTCATTTATCAGCAATTTTAACAATGAGACTAAGCCTATACATCATATTATTAGGAAATATTGGTCAATTCTAAAGAACCCACATTTAACAGATATTTTAGAAACTTAATAGAGGAATAAAACATTTAAATTATATTTTGGTGCATTGCTTAAGCGCAGACTTAATATTTTTTCAATTAAAATATTTCTTTTATTATTGTGTTCAATGTCTACCAGGTAAACACTTGAATATAAAGAAATCATATTCATTAAAAAGAATCATAAAATGTCCTATATAAAAACAATACTTACCTGTCATAGTAAGAACATTGCTGTCTTTTTCCCATCTGCTGCTCCATAAAGTTTTTCTCTAGTTTAGATTTAGATTCCAAATTTACGATGTTTTTAATTAGGTAGGATGCTGTGTCGACCATCAGCCCTTCTGAGATTAACCCATTTAGTTGGTAAGTTCTGATTTTAAAGGCATTTGAGTGTCTTTTATTGTTATCTTCCACTTATTTCTACGTTTTGCACCTACAACCTGCATCTCTGTGTGTCAAGCTCACTACAGTAACTTCACCACAGTATAAAACTGTCTTACATGTCTTAGATTTTTTTTATGCTTGTGTTTATATTAAATTACTTGGATAGCTTTTGATATGTTTTAACTGCAATCATGGAAAATGTATATTTAGTACTGCAAAAGATGATTGTCTAGTTAGTATTATAATTGTTTAGTTAGAAAATGTTTATTAATATTTGTTATATTTTCTCTAACATCTTGTCATTAAACGTTATCTTTTGCTGCACTCTGACTGATTCTCATTTGGTCATTACTGTTAGGAAATATCTCTGCCAAAATACCTTATGCAGCTAATACTCTAAATTATAGCTATACAAAATTAAAGGGTTGGTTTTGAAAACTTGCAAATATATGTGGGCTTCCAGTAACTCTATTGTTAATGTCACTAGGTAATGTCTATTGTTAGTGTAACTAGGTTACACCAGGATACGTGCCTGGTGGTCATCTTGATGCTCTTTGAAGCACATAGTCGGCAGCCATTCTGGTGCTCCTGAAGGTTTAACACAGTAGTTATCATGAAACCCTTTGAATTGATGAAACTTATTCACCCAAAACCTCAAACCACAACAATGTGTCAGTGTGTTTATATGTGTGTAGCTGTGTACATATATATATATATATATATATATATATATATAAAGATTTGTTAGTAAAGACGGACCCTATACACTGCTATGAGGACAAACAGGGTTTTGTCAATTTTGGTTGCTACAAGTGCTTGGGCTGTGTCACTTGTGGGCACATGCTATCTGGCAAATCGTTCACCCATCCCCACACAGGAAAGAAGTACATCATTAGGCATCGATTAACTTGCACTACTGATTATGTAGTATGCAAGCTAACTTGCCCTTGCGGGCTTACGTACATCGGCAAGACGGACCTGCCCATGCGCGAACGTATTCGCAACCATAGATCTAGTATAAGGGTGGCGTATATAGATCAAAAATCGGACTTGCCGGTGGCTAAACATTTCTTGGAGAAAGGACATACGCTTCCGACTTTAAAACTCATGGCAATTGACCATATACCACCTCTTAGGAGGGGAGGCGACCGTAAGAAAATGTTATTACAACGAGAACTTTATTGGATTAGAACTTTGAGAACAGTATATCCTGAAGGTCTGAATGAGAAATATACCCTTTCTGCATTTCTATAAATGTTTATGTTTTAAGTAGTGACAATGAGATGAGCTATGTGATGCCCACCCTGGGGGATAGGCATACATTCCTATGCTTCTCTCGTAACTATGTGTGTTTATTCATTATGTGGGGTGGCATGCTCTAGTATATGTATTATGATTTCCTTGTTCAATATTTGGTGAGGGTCAAACTTTATCAAGACCATTAGGGGGCACTACTGCTTAGTATAGTGTTATGTTGTATCATTAACTAACTGTGCTATTCTTTTGATGTACATGAGATGTTTAAAAGAACTTGTATTATTTCCCCATATAATAGTCATGCAATGTAGTTTGTTTTAGGATTTTCATGCTGACTCTGCAATTGATCTACTTAAGTTTTGAACAATGTTGGTACATGCAAAGATCTGGAACATTTATGGGGGCTGCAATGTCCCTCATGTATGCAAATATCATTTTGAAGGAATATTAATCTTTAGATTTCCAAATTTAGACATGCAATTACTGGCTACTACAGATTTAAAGATGATATCCTAATATTATGGAATTGGAGGCAATTTAATGACTTGCCCACTCCCATTAACGTATCCTCTCAGATGAGTGAAGAAAGTATTCCATTATTTGCATTTGGAGATTTTTCCTAAAAAATGCACATTTGAAGTGTACATGGACCAAAATAGTATATTACATATACACCCATGTGCACACACATCATCTTAAAAACCATTACCTCACTCTCAATTTCTTCAGTAGTAGGAAATAGCTTGAATGGAGAGAGGAGAAACGATGCATAATTAATTTCTGAACAGAGTCTATCATCAAAAGGACTCACAGGTAGCCCCCGTAAAGGACAAGAATTGTGCTCTTTGCTTCACATTTCTAGTATCTTGCAAGAACCTAGCACAGCATGGTTTATATAGTTAGTGGTGTAGTTAGATATTTTTACCTCTTTTTTGATTTCTTTTATTCCTTCCATTATTATATTTGGTATATCTTATACTATGTCTCTCTACATCATCATATTGTTGGGGGGATGTAACGGAGTGGACCTTGTTGGATAAAACACCAGCAGAGTAAGCATTTTCTGTAGTTCCTTTATTTCCTATTGGTATCAGGTCACATGACACCCCTTTTTAAGTATGTAAAGCAAATTCAACATCTCTGTCATTCAGTTACTTAAATTATAACAACAAGCTTACTGCTATTCAGTTATCACTAGATATAAGATAACATAAATTATTTTAAACATAAACCCCAGCAGTGAGCTGCCACTGTCCTACACGAGATTCACAAATTACCGTCCCGTGACTGTGTATCTTTAACTCTTTTAAGCCCCTGTGACTGTCAAATTAGCTACAATGCTGCACTGGGTTGACAGTTTCATCAAGGAACCGCTTGTAAGCACCATTACCAGTTATGGTTGAAAAAAGTTTTGTTTTAGATGCTGTGTATACATTTAATCAACAGAGACATCACATTTGGGATACTCCTTATTCTTGATTATGTTTTTAGTTTGTGGTTTGCTACATACAGCATCTGGGTGAGTGGGGCTAATTTATTCTTACCACTATACATGGGTTTTAGTGGTAATGAATGGTTATTAAGTACTTCCAGGCCTGTCCCCCACCCTCAAAAGCTACACTGGTCTAATATTATAACCTCTTGTACACTGTTATTGGTTATATATGTTAAATTGCTACATTCATTTTGCAACATATACTTTCTGATACATTGCATAACTCATTTGATACTTGTTTAGACAGCATTTTATCATCTCTATCATGACATATTCAGAACTAGTTTTCACAGTTTGAGGGAGTATTTTAAGGTTTAATCCAATAGTGCACTTGTAGATAGAGCATATCTTTTTATAATTATATTGCCCTTACCCTTTTCAGCTTTAGTCACATGATATGAAAGAAGGACTTTATTCAATAAATGTATCAAGGTGTTTTAATCAGATGAAAGGACATTTGATCTTTATTTTTATCAAGTTGTAAATAAAAATTATATTTTACACCTTTTCATTAAATTCTAAGGGGATAACTTGCCATGTGCACAATATAATGGAGAAACAACAACCCACATTTTTAGTGCTTCACTCAACAGGGGAAGAGGTGAAGCAACAGCGTTATTTTACCATGGACATAACCACTATTGAGAGCACTTTAGGAGTATATAAGACCCACACCTGCTCTCACACGTGTTATTCACAACAGACATATTTTATAGGATTTTTATTTTAGAAACTTAATAGAGGAATAAAACATTTAAATTATATTTTGGTGCATTGCTTAAGCGCAGACTTAATATTTTTTCAATTAAAATATTTCTTTTATTATTGTGTTCAATGTCTACCAGGTAAACACTTGAATATAAAGAAATCATATTCATTAAAAAGAATCATAAAATGTCCTATATAAAAATAATACTTACCTGTCATAGTAAGAACATTGCTGTCTTTTTCCCATCTGCTGCTCCATAAAGTTTTTCTCTAGTTTAGATTTTGATTCCAAATTTACGATGTTTTTAATTAGGTAGGATGCTGTGTCGACCATCAGCCCTTCTGAGATTAACCCATTTAGTTGGTAAGTTCTGATTTTAAAGGCATTTGAGTGTCTTTTATTGTTATCTTCCACTTATTTCTACGTTTTGCACCTACAACCTGCATCTCTGTGTGTCAAGCTCACTACAGTAACTTCACCACAGTATAAAACTGTCTTACATGTCTTAGATTTTTTTTTATGCTTGTGTTTATATTAAATTACTTGGATAGCTTTTGATATGTTTTAACTGCAATCATGGAAAATGTATATTTAGTACTGCAAAAGATGATTGTCTAGTTAGTATTATAATTGTTTAGTTAGAAAATGTTTATTAATATTTGTTATATTTTCTCTAACATCTTGTCATTAAACGTTATCTTTTGCTGCACTCTGACTGATTCTCATTTGGTCATTACTGTTAGGAAATATCTCTGCCAAAATACCTTATACAGCTAATACTCTAAATTATAGCTATACAAAATTAAAGGGTTGGTTTTGAAAACTTGCAAATATATGTGGGCTTCCAGTAACTCTATTGTTAATGTCACTGGGTAATGTCTATTGTTAGTGTAACTAGGTTACACCAGGATACGTGCCTGGTGGTCATCTTGATGCTCTTTGAAGCACATAGTCGGCAGCCATTCTGGTGCTCCTGAAGGTTTAACACAGTAGTTATCATGAAACCCTTTGAATTGATGAAACTTATTCACCCAAAACCTCAAACCACAACAATGTGTCAGTGTGTTTATATGTGTGTAGCTGTGTACATATATATATATATATATATATATATATATATAAAGATTTGTTAGTAAAGACGGACCCTATACACTGCTATGAGGACAAACAGGGTTTTGTCAATTTTGGTTGCTACAAGTGCTTGGGCTGTGTCACTTGTGGGCACATGCTATCTGGCAAATCGTTCACCCATCCCCACACAGGAAAGAAGTACATCATTAGGCATCGATTAACTTGCACTACTGATTATGTAGTATGCAAGCTAACTTGCCCTTGCGGGCTTACGTACATCGGCAAGACGGACCTGCCCATGCGCGAACGTATTCGCAACCATAGATCTAGTATAAGGGTGGCGTATATAGATCAAAAATCGGACTTGCCGGTGGCTAAACATTTCTTGGAGAAAGGACATACGCTTCCGACTTTAAAACTCATGGCAATTGACCATATACCACCTCTTAGGAGGGGAGGCGACCGTAAGAAAATGTTATTACAACGAGAACTTTATTGGATTAGAACTTTGAGAACAGTATATCCTGAAGGTCTGAATGAGAAATATACCCTTTCTGCATTTCTATAAATGTTTATGTTTTAAGTAGTGACAATGAGATGAGCTATGTGATGCCCACCCTGGGGGATAGGCATACATTCCTATGCTTCTCTCGTAACTATGTGTGTTTATTCATTATGTGGGGTGGCATGCTCTAGTATATGTATTATGATTTCCTTGTTCAATATTTGGTGAGGGTCAAACTTTATCAAGACCATTAGGGGGCACTACTGCTTAGTATAGTGTTATGTTGTATCATTAACTAACTGTGCTATTCTTTTGATGTACATGAGATGTTTAAAAGAACTTGTTAGGTAATCAATCTTTTTTTCAATGAGCCTTGGTATAATATTCTCTCTCTTGAGATTTGCCTGGATTCCTAACTTCTCTAGTCTGACAAGCCTGTTTTTTATAACTTCAGAGTCATTGGTAACTATGATTAATCTTTTAGGCATTTTTTTCAGCAATTAAGTCCAATATGCGTATTAAGGTTTTTTTAATATCATGATTGCCAGTTCTCTATGCTGCATCATTGTCTGAATTATAACATCCCCAGGAGTCTAGCGTGTAGCAGTTGATACATTGTTTTTATCGTAAGATTAGTATGTTGTATCATGTTTGTTGTTATAGGTCACCATGGTGATGACCCCTGGCCGCGTCATTGAGCGTGACGCCGTGCGGCTGCAGACGTACGTCGGGCAGCCCGCGGCAGTCCCGGTCCAGGCGTCCATGGAGTCAGAGGTGTCACAAGTGTGGTGAGTGATTATTATTGTTTATGTTATAAATGTGGGTATATCTGTACACATAGTATGTCCTGACGAAAGCTTGAGGGGATCAGGCTGAAACGTTGACACTTTGATGTTTTAGCAAAGGTAAATAAAAGTTAATTTTTATAAGTCCCTGGAGTGCTATCTTTGGTATTTTTGTTAGATATATATATATATATATATATATATATATATATATATATATACTGCACGCACAAACATAAACCCTGCAAACACAAACATTAATTTCAAATACACCCCCCTTCACTCAAACATTAATACCACACACAAATGTACATCTGCATTTAAAAGACAACACTGCCCTGCATGTAATTGCACTGATACCCTCTCCACATTAGTTCCACTACTGAGTTGGGTGGAGGGCATAAATGCATGCTAGGGATTAGAGTGCAGATTTGAAGGGGCCAAAGCAAATGCTTGCCCAAGGTCCAATCAAAGTTAAAGACAGTACTGCTGCTACTTTGAGAAACAGCTGCCTGATGTAAAATTAAAAATAAAATTCACTAAGCCTACCACCTACCGCACCAATTATAGAGATCCAAAGCTAAAGAGCTCCACATCTGGTGCTTGAGCCCCAAAGGCCTGCTAGCAACATCTAGGACAATCAGAAAAAACAGAATTGCAGAAATATATTAAAATCTATCAACCAACATCTACGAACTAAGATCCATGGTGTCTTATTACATTTTAGCCAACAGAGAAAAAAGGTACGTGAAAGAACCTCTACAGTTACAGTGTAGTGATTATGATGCCAAGAGTGCCATAGCGTCCTCCTTCCCTCGGCCAGGAGCTAGAACTTACTGTTTAAGAGCTTCCTTAGCTAAATCCTGCTGTGAACCAGCTGATTGGCTAAGCCATCAGTGATTGCTCACAGCTATTGAGCTCAGCCCAGCACTGCCGGGTGTAGCTCAGACAGGGAGCCTCCAGGTGTCTGTTGAGGTAGTAGAGACATCAGTACCTGAATAATGTGAGTTAAACATTTTCATGCACTGTTATGTCTTGTATTAAATGTATACTGAAGAATTGGCACCTAAACGTAACAATGCAGTTCAGTTCTGGTACTACCAAAATTAACCATGCAGTTTAGGAAGAAAAACATTGTTTCTGATTCTCCTCCTCTACTTACTCAAACTCCATAAATATATATGATGCTGTTTGTGGAGATGTCTCTATGCTAACTAATAGGTACAAACATTTTTTTTGTTTTTGTTTCTTTAATAACTGAATGATTGAAATGAACAGTGCTCATAACAATGATTGGAAACCAAATCTGAGTATTTCCATTTTCCTACAAGACGTGTCTTAATGAACTACTCCTTTGTCAATTATGGAGGTACGGTTCCTGACTTTAGAACTCTTACAAACTTAGAAATAATTGCAATTATTGCTATTGTATATCAGGAGATATTCACAAGATTCACGAACAGGCATTTAGAGAAAGTCGATCTGTAAAACATGCCAATGCTTTAGTTGTTACTTATACAGTGGCGTACATACAGGGGGCCCGGCCGCTCTGCGACCCGGTATGTATGCCACTGTGGCCAGCCTCTTCTCCTGGGGGGCCCAGGAGCTGGCCACCTCAGGGCCCCCCGAGGCTGGCCCTAATATCACCCAGTGGGCAGGCTGGTGGGCACTGTCCTCTGAGTGCTTCCTCTTCAGCTCCCTCGCGCACCGCACTGATACCGGAGCCGGAAGATGACGTCCGGCATCAGTACGCGGTGCACAAGGGAGCTGAAGAGGAAGCACTCAGGGGACATTGCTCCCTTGCGCGCGCGCCAGCCTGCCCGCCGGGTAACACCACCTAACCCCAGGGAATCCCCTCAGCACTCCCAAGGGTAGGGAGGCTGGGGGATTATATATTTTTTTTTTTAAACGTGAGTGCGTGTGTTAGTGTGTGTGTTAGTGTTAGAGTGTGTGTGTTAATGTTAGAGTGTGTGTTAGTGTGTGTGTGTGTTAGTGTTAGAGTGTGTGTGTGTTAGTGTGTGTGTTAGTGTGTGTGTATGTGTTAGTGTTAGAGTGTGTCAGTGAGTGTGTTACTGTGTGTGTCTGTTACTTAGTGAGTTAGTTTGTGTGCATCTGTTAGTGAGTGTGTGTTTTGTAAGTGAGTGAGTGTGTGTCTGTCTCAGTGAGTGTGTATGTATGTCTGTCACTGAGTGTGTGTCTGTCAGTAAATGTGTGTGTCTGTTAGCTAGTGTGCATGCGTCTGTTCTTGAGAGCGTGTGTTTGTCTTAAGCACTTACCTTTCTCCAGCGCCGGACTCTGATGGCGCTGGGGATCTCTCCATCCCGATCCGCCTCTCAGCTCCAAATGCGCATGCGTGACAAGAGCCGCACACACATTCAAACTGCCCATAGCAAAGCATTACTCAATGCTTTCCTATGGACGTTCAGCGTCTTCTCACTGTGATTTTCACAGTGAGAATCGCAGAAGCTCCTCTAGCGGCTGTCAATGAGACAGCCACTAGAGGCTGGATTAACCCTCAATGAAACATAGCAGTCTCTCTGAAACTGCTATGTTTTCAGCTGCAGGGTTAAAACTAGAGGGACCTGGCACCCAGACCACTTCATTGAGCTGATGTGATCTGGGTGTCTGTAGTGGTCCTTTAAGTGTATGTGTATCTGCATGCACTGGCGTACATACCGCGGTCGCAGGGGTCACAGCCCTGCGACCCCTGCAACCCGGTGCACGCAGCCATGTGTTGCGGCCCCAGCCCGCGCAGAGTAAGCGCGCGGGGGGGGGCACGGATCAGTTTTCGCACCGGGGCCCCATGGGTTGTGTGTGCACCACTGTACTTACAGATTGTGGTTTTCCTTCTTTTACAATAAGGTTTTACATTTTAACAAATCTTGGGAATAGTTGCCAGCTTTCTTAATACATTTGTATCCTGAATTGAAGTTGCAGAACTGAAAAGGTATAGTCCAAGCCAGGCCAACTCAGTCATATGCATTTTCATTTCTCTATTATATCTTAATATCTTTACCGGGTTATTGTATATCCTTGCATCCATTCCACATATACTACACTTAACAGTCATGTTGACATGTATCCTGTAGCAAGATTGTACAAGTGAGATTTGTTCTTTGAGCATGAAGTAGCTCTACATTACATGAATTGTATTTGAAATATTTTATTTTTCTATTTCACCGTAATATTGCATTGAAAGGAAAACAACCACTATAGATCTCTTGGCAGAGGTTATACACACAGAACTGATTCTATTCTAAAGTAGTGAGGTGTTCTTTAAAATGTGAATTAGATACATTAATTTACTCATACAGCATTTGCCCATCATGATGTACTTTGTTTGCTATTTTCAGATTTTGGGGGTCTGATCACAAATTTTTAGGGGTTGTATTTTTTTTTCTTTTTGACAAAGAATATTATTTAATTGTGTAATTGTTTAGTCCAGTGGTTCCCAACCCAGTCTTCAATTAGCCCCTAACAGTCCAGAATTTAGGGATTGTCAGTTGTGTCTAAGATGTTTTTAGACAAAGAAAAAGAAAATACTTTAGACACAACAGGGTAATCCCTAAATCCTGGACTGGTAGGGGGTACTTGAGGACTGTGTTGGGAACCCCTGGTTTGGTCAATTCCCTACAGACATTCATTAAATTAAGTGGTCATCACAGAGCTTGAAATCCAAGACACATACATTTTAAAACAACTTATTAACATAATAAAATGTTTATGTATACATATGAGAACATATTAAAACCAATAAAACATTATGCCCTTTACTTATTAGAAGCTGTCAGTATTTGCAAGTCTGTATAAAACGGCATTAAATGTTTCAAAGGACAGTAATTTTCACCTACATTTCAAACAGGGATCCAAGATTTTTAAATATTCATAATTCTAATTTTGCAATCTGAATTTTATTTTATTTGGCAATCAGTTAAGGTGAACTTCTTTCTCCGATGAAGCATTACTTATTTTACCTAAGCACACATACACACTAGATTCTTCAGTTTATTTAATAGCTTCTATTTACTGCGTGGTACAGTAATTCATGTTGTGTTAGAGAAGCATTACATCTACTAAAATGCATGATAGGTCAGGTCTTTAACTACAACAATAGACAAAGGACATAGACATTTGTCCATATGTGTAATCCTACTGGAAAATCTCATTAGTTGAGATGTTCACAGTGCATTTGTTTTATCCAGTGAAAGGGCTGAAATGTTTGCTTTACCTAAGAGGGTGAAGTGGTCTGTGGAAAAACCTTTGATTGTCTGAGATGTAAACGCAGAATTCCAAACCTCTAATCAGGTTTAAATGTTAACAATTAAGTGAGAACTGTAACTGAGGTTTGTTTGTAGATAAAGAAATTGAATGTGAGAAACTAAATTCTAATGAATTAGGAATGAGATTGTGTTTGGAAAAAATTAGCCAAGGAATAAAAGTTGGTGTTGGAGAAAATTAATTTTGTTCTATTAGTCAAAGGATAACCTACATAAATCTAAAGTGTTTAGAGTTGCTAGTGTCACATGTAGTGATGCCTTGGGTCATTGAGGAATCCTTTCTAATGTGGACAGATTGGCTCTCAAAATGTCTCATGGCCACAACAGAGCTGCTACAGACATCCTTATTTCAGTGACATTGGTCGATAACTTTCTGGCGTCTTACTTTTTACAGCATCCAGTTGGAACCCATCTTTGTTTACTTAAGACCAGTCCACACTTAGTTTCTTGCACTGTCATGGTCTTTGCCTACCCGAGAGTGCATTCCTATTATTCACAGTTCACAGCTTAATTTGTGTTTTCACTCAGGTCTGTTATTTGACTATTCTGACTGCTGTAATCCTAGTTCTTAACCTGTTATCTACTTCTTTGTTTTTCTATTTCCCTTTGAGTTTAGCTTGCCCATGTTTATGCTTTGAATGTTTGCTGATAGCTTTGCTA